CCCATTGGCTGTCCATGTGCGCTTTGCCCCTGGCCAGTCGTGACCTCAACGCGACAGTGGTCTCGCGTGCGCATAACGCCTTGGACTCCTCACGTGATTTCTACCATTGAAGGTCGCGTGACTTGGCCCATGCTGTATGCGTTGGACTGGCCTGTTCGCGCGCCTTTGTTCCGACGTGACCTCGGATATCTGTTTGTCTGGATGACGTGCTCAGTCATCCTAACACCTTTACAGTTCTATAAGACAGAGCGTGCGGAACAAGGACCCAGTCCTCCATTGTGAACTAAGGGGCAGAAATATCTGGAGACAAGGATAAGGCTAACCACCTTTCTCACTTCTTCCGGACCGTCGTTAAGACTTAACCCGGTTTTTATCCCACACCTATGAAGACGATCCGATTCCTTTTATTGATGCAGTCCTCTTCACCAAAGATGTAATTAGCACTGAGCCTCTAACTTTGAAGGAATCTACCTGCTCAGGCCCCGATGCAATCCCGACCAAGGTGTTGAAGGGGCTAGCTTCTGAAATGGCAAGCCACCAGCCTTAATCTTCCAGGCGTCATTTTTCACGGGGTGCTTACCCTCTGATAAGAAGACAGTAGCGATCACTCCGCCTTTCATGAATGGAAGCCGAGCGTCCGCAAATAATTACTGGCCGGTGAGTATTGTTTCTATTTGTTGCAAAACCATGAAAAAATCATTAAGAAAGCGTTGATGCAATTTTATCAGACAGAATCACCTCCTTTTCAATGCCCAACACGGCTTTTGCAGTGGTAGGTCCTGTCTTACGAATTTGCCTTTCTGACACTATCACTGGACCAAAGCACGTGACGAAGGCAAAATGGTGCATGCCATCTTCATTGACTTCTAAAAGGCGTTTGACACAGTCCCTCGCCAATGCCTCCTGCATAAACTGCGCGGCGCAGGCGTTCGCGGGACCCTCCACCTACGAATCCAAAGCTTTTTGACAGGGCGGTCCCAAATAGTTCAATTCGGTCGTCAGCAGTCCTCGGGGGTACGAGAGGTAAGCGGCGTCCCAAAGGGCTCAGATTTAGGTCCTACATTATTGCTTGTTTTCATTCAGGACTGTGTCAGGGAGCTGGACTGCGATTTCACCTTAGTCGCTGACATTAAAAATTGCGGAAATTTGTCTAAAATACGGCAGATGAAAACCATCTGCAAGCTACAGTAGAGTGCATATCTAATGATATATGAAGAGAAAAAATTGAGTGGGTGATTTAACACATATTTGTGGTTGTTTATTTTGTTCATTGAGTTGACTTGAGGGGCGAAATGCTGTCTGCTAGACAAGAGTTCTGTTCAGATCAGCGTACTGGGGGCAAAAAGGACGGAATGGGGACCAAATTTCCAAAGAATTTGTCCAGCTTTCCATGGATGTTAGCAGGTTAGTGATACAGGACCGGCCACTTCGGAATCCGTATTGCGCTGCGCTTAGCAAGCTTTTCTCAATATGTCTCATTAGTTTCGTTTTGATTACTTTCTCCATTAGTTTGCAACAAATGCACGTGAGACTAACTGGTCTAAGGCAATTAGGCTACGTTGTCTCTCGTCCTTTATAAATAGGGATTATGTTGGTCAGCTTCCAGTCAGTAGGCAGAGCCTCCTTCTCCATCGAACTTTCGAAAATCTTGGAAAGTTGGGAAGTCAGTTGTTCTGCGAGCTCTTTCAGAAGTTTCGCTGATAAGCCATCCGGACCAGGCGACTTAGTGGGCTGTAGTTGTCTCAGGGCTTCCTTTACTGCGTCTGTTGCCAATGATACCGTCCTAATTGTTTGCGCTGCTGGGACGATATATCGCTGCACATCCTCGTTAAAAGGCGGCTCCTCGGTATACATAGACTATAAAATTGGACAAGAGGTTCGCCTTATCTGAGTTATCGGTAAACTTGTTTCCCTGATTACCTTTCAGAAAAGGAATGGGATCTCGATTGCCTTATTGTGGAAATGAGCCTAGAAGTAACCAAATATACTGAAAACTGTTCCAGTTTAAATTGAAAAATTAGCTCTTTCATTTATAACAGAATATATATCCCAATTGTTAGGGAAATAAAGAAAACTGGCCCAAATTTTCCATTCTGATCTTGACTTAATCTTAAAAAAAATAAAGTACGCAGACATTCAACGCCAAAGTATATACCTAAAGCTCATTTTCAAGAGGTAATTTGTTAGGAAAAATTTTAAAATCAATCTTAGGCATATTCGTTCGCGACTTTTGCTGTAAACATCCATTTTTCTCGGCAATGAGTTGACATGTTTGGGTGGTTTTGAAACCATGACACAAACAGACAGCTGCAAAAGAAAGGATGTCTATAAACTCGTCATGTAGGTAAATTCTTTTAGTATATATTTTATTTTGAAAGTTTTGATAAGCGCGTAGAATACAATGATTATTTATGGTCAATCGGCTGAAGCCCGTGAAAATCATAAAGTCTTCATTAGTATTTCAAGGAAAATCTGAATCTCTTCTCAATCGAAATCCCAAAATAATTACAAAGGAATGAAGCGGAAGGCAATTACTCTTAGTATAGAAAAAATGGTACGTTTACAATTGCACCTGAAAACTGAATTTAAATTTAGTCACTGACCGGCATGTCCGCACGTGAGCTGAAGAAATATATCACTCCTGCGGTGTCCCAATGAGCCAAATCAAGTGAAAATGTAGTTGCTTTAGTTCAACGTAACTCAAGCGATGCACAAACGAAAGAAAAATCTGCCAGAAAGATTAGTGAGGCCAAAAACTATATTTTTGACTTATAATAAAAACTAATTCATACATTTCAGTAGGCATACATTCCGTTTTCCTCTGCCGCGGATTCACTAAGATGCTGGAGTTGGTTCTAGTGCCGGTTTTCGTCCTCCTTCGACTCGCACGTTTAACAACTCTCCCCTAAACATTGTCTCAGTGACCTTGCCCAATGTCTGCGTACACGTTCCATCTCACACGCCCTGTCCTTCAGTGACCTCACCCAGGGTCAGCGAACACCCCCAACTTACACGCGCTCGCAGGGGTTAAGAAATACTGTAAGAAATACATGCCAGTGACCTTGCCCAGGGTCAGCGAACACCCTCCAACTTACACGCGCTCGCCGTTGGTCCAGTGCACTTCCTTAACTATCACCTTACACGGGTGCTTTCCGTCTGGTAGTCAAGGGAAGATAACAGCAAGGCCGTGAAATGGAAATCTATTATCTTAGCTTAGTATACTTAACTTAAACGCAAGCAATGTTTTAGAAAATTT